CGTCGCAGAAGTGAATTACCTTGAGAGAAAAGCCATGGCTTTTGTTTTCACAAAACACAAGTCAGTCTCAATGTGTGTCTCGCGGGCGGGACACCAAAAGGTGTCTCGTAGCCGCTGTTCATAATTCTCCACCTCGTACATCATTTGATAAACCTTAAATTTCGGATGAACACCAGAAGAATGCTACAAACATCACGAGTGATCTGAAACACCAAACCAGGCCAAAACCAGCTGCACCATTATACCATGGCTGTCTATGTAACCTCTAACGGGACAAGCTAACTGTAGTTCTGAATAGTCTCCACCTCATCCCATCACCGTCTCGAAGGGTCATGCCCTTTTGGGCAGATCAATACGGGCTGATATGAAGCAAGTCCAAATAATGTTGGAACTTGCTACTTTTCACCACATTGGTCAACATGTCTGCGAGATTCTCATTTGTGTGCACCTTCATGAGAGAAATATCACCTTCCTCTATAGTGAGAGATTATTTTCGTGAGAGCCTGAAGTGTGGGGCCAATGGAGTCACCACTGACTTAGCACTTTGTATCCTAAACCTTGCGATAACCCGCTTAATGTAGCTCTTTTGACTCAAGAACAATCGCCGATTTACCCGCTCTCTTATAATCTTCATAACAAGTATTTTCTTAGCAGCGCCCATATCCTTCTTCTCAAACTCTTGACCAAGTTAAGATTTTAACCTATATATCCCCACGTTGCTTCTCGAAGCAATAAGCATGTCATCCACATACAAAAAAAGATAGATATAATCATCTCCATGAAGCTTCCGAATGTAGACACAACAATCATAATTGCTTCTGGAGAACTCATGTTTTATAGCATGAAGGAGTCAAATCACTTGTATCACTGTCGAGGAGATTGTTTCAATCCATAAAGTGATTTCCTCAAGTGACATACATGATTCTCCTTATCCTCAACATTGTAACCCTCGGACTGATGCATATAGATTTCCTCATCCAAGTCTCCGTGCAAGAAGACCATTTTGACAATCGAGTTGTTCCAGCTCAAGATCATCATGAGCAACAATACTCAATAGCACCTGAATAGAAGTATGTTTCACCATCGGAGAATTTTTTTTTATTATAATCCACACCCTCTCTTTGTGCAAACCCCTTAGCTACTAGTCTAGCATTGTACCTTGTACTGCCAAGCTCGGAAGAATCCTCCTTTCTCTTGTACACCCACTTACAACCAATAGTTTTTCTCCCTACGGGCAAAGGGGCTGCCTCCCATGTTTGGTTCTTTCGGAGAGATTCTATCTCTTTTTCCATCACAGCCAACCAACTCTCACTATCCCTATCTCTAATAGCTTATTTGAAGGTGACCGACTCATCATCCTCCACCGAGAGTGCGTACTCAACCAAATTTACATGCTCATAGTGTTTCAGAGGCTGTTCTGACCCTAACTTCTAAACCTGTTTGTATGCTCGCCTTGGCCTAATGGAAGCCAAACTATCTTCGAGCTACTGTTGTTGTAGTGCCTGTACATTTCTCCTCCTGTTCATGCTTATCATCACTCCTTTCCTGAGTGTCTCCATGATTTCCCACTTGAACACGACTAGAACCTGGTTGGTCTTTAGGTTCTATCTCAATCACCTGGTATTTTGAGGTCCCAACAGTCTCAACATCATCATCCTCAGGCGCCTTAACTTTTGATAAAGCTATCATGGATTTTTCATCAAATGTAACATCTCTACTGATTACAAACTTGGAATCTTCTGTACACCAAATGTGATAGCCTTTTACGCCCTTTGCATACCCCAAGAATATTGCCTTCTTGGCCCTCGCGTTAAACTTTCCCTCGTTAACGTGATAGTAGGCTGTACATCCAAAAATCCTGAGCCTATCGTAATCTGCATGCTCCTCTAACCATACCCGATAGGGTACATCACCATCTAATATTGAATGTGGAGAATGATTCGCTGTGTAACAAACTGTAGCAACCGCTTCTGCCCATCATTCTTTGCCCAAACTAACATATGATTACATACTCATTACATTCTCCCGTAATGTACGGTTTAGTCTCTGGGACTCCATTCTACTGTGGTGTAGACCTGACTGTCCAGTATCAAGCAATACCCTCCTGATCATAGAACTTCTTGAAAGCACCATCTGTAGACTTTGTACCGTTATCAGATCTCAGTGTTTTTAATTTTCTGCCTGTTCTGTTCTTAACCATTGCTTTCCACTTCTTGAATATCTTGAATACCTTATTCTTATGCTTAAGAAAATAAACCCAAGCATACCTAGAATAATCATCTATAAACGAGACAAAATACCTGGAACTGTCCTTGGAAATTGTCAGAGTCGGACCCCAAACATCTGTATGTGCATAGTCTAATATATATCTGCTCTTGTGCTTGCTTTTCAAGAATTAGACCCTGTGCGCCTTTTCGTACACACAATCCTCATAAAAATCCATGTAAGGTTTCTTCATGTTCTTCAGTAAACCTTCTTTGTCGAGCAGATCTAGACCCTTCTCTGACATATGCTCAAACAGCCTATGCCATAACTAAGTGATCTCACATGGGTCTCCATCACTTCCATCAGTTCTAACCACTGCATCTCCTGTCACTGTTGTACCCGAGAGAGTATATAGATTATCGTGACGAATGCCCTTCATCACTACTAAGTAAACTTGAACAATCTTCTTTACTCTGTTCTTTGTAACTATATTGTAGCCACCGAAGTCCAAAGCACCAAGTGAGATAAGATTCTTTCACAAGTCGAGAACATGCCTCACATTCGTCAGGGTTCTGACCACTCCATCATGCATCTTGATTTTGATATCACCAAGCCCCATCATTTTACAAGCATGGTTATTCCCCATAAATACGGTTTCACCATCAATACTTCTATAGGCAGTAAACCACTTTCTATTTGGGCATATATAGTAAAAGCAACCTGAATCAAGAATCCACTTACCGGAGGTATCTTCACCACACGTAACGGTGTAGCACTCTTTTTCGCTCCCTTCCTCCGAGACATAGCTTGCCTCTTCCTTGCCTTCTCTTCTCTTGGTTTTATTGTTGTTGTTCTTCCCACATACTCTCTTGTTAAGACAGTCAACCTTTAAATGCACAAGCTCACCGTATTTGAAACACAGTCTTCCTGCAAGAGGTCTCGATTTCGATCTAGACTTTCCACCCTTGCCTTTTCCTCGCTCATTGCCCCTTCCTCTTACAAACAATCTCTGTGTTTGCTCTTGGTTACCACTAGAGGCCATGTCACTAGTTACAATTTTTCGAAGATCATCTGCTAGAAGCACCGTTCTAGTCTCATCCATCTTCAAATTGTCACCTACAAGCATCGATGTTTGTACCAGGTTCTCATAAGACTTCGGTAAAGAAAGAAGTAGCAGAAGTGCTTGATCCTCATCTTCTACTGTCACATCGATGTCCTTCAAATCCGATATGATCCTATCGAACTTGTTGATGTATTTCCGAATTGATGATCCTTCCTCCATTTTGCAAGTATACAATTTGGATTTTAAGTAGATCCGATTTGTTAGACTCTTCGTCATGAAGGTACTCTCTAACTTTGACTACACACCCGCAGCCGTTTCCTCTTCATCCACCAAGAAAGTTACATCCCTCTCAAGGCATAGGATAATCAACACTCGTGCTTCGAGATCTAACTCTTCCCAATCCTCATCAGACATATCTTTGTGCTTTTTTTCTTTTCCTACCAAAGCTTTGTGCAATTTCTGCGAAATCAACGAGTTTTCATTTGCATCCTCCAATAGGAAAAATCATTCTTCCCATTGAACTTTTCAATCTCATAATTTCCCATTTTGACCATTTTACTGGTAGACGACATTCTCTGCTTGTATTAGTTAAATCCGTTTCTCTCAGGAATTTCAACAAACACCTTGTGTGCACCACATAATAATCAAGCACTACATCAAATTGGAAGTTCTACCACCACCAATCTGATCAAGGGGCTCTGATACTAATTGTTGGGTGACGATACGCCCACCTCACCTCAGAAGCGAATCACCTTGAGAGAAAAGCCCTGACTTTTATTTTCATAAAACACAAGCCAATCTTAATGTTCTAATTTCGATATGAAACAAGAACAGAAGTGAAATATCTTAGCAAGGTGAGATATACACTCTTCCCAATATTCGATGTAGGTCTGAATATCGTGGGAACTAACCAACACAAGCAATACCCAATAAAATAAGTGAGACACGAGGTTTACGTGGTTCGGCAAACTTGCACACATCCACGAGGAGGGGTAAATGGAGATTCCACTATGATAGAGAACACTAACGACTTGTACAACCCACAAGTTCGTCCCAAAGAGATGAGCCTTCGATTTTACCCAAGAAAGATGATCTCTTTCCTGTACAATCCCTCCAAGTTCTCTCTCTTTTTTCTCTTCTTAAGATCTCACCTTTCAGATCTAAAAAACTCTCATTTTCTCTAAAAAACCGCCGCACAAAACCCTAGGAACGAAGTTCCTATTTATACCAAGGAAACAGGGCCAAAACAAACCCGATACGGCCCAAATACTCTAACTGTTCGGACCCGTGCGATACACTTGAGGTGTCTCGCGCGGGTGTCTCGCGCGCGCGTCGCACCGGCGAGACACCTTTTGGTTTCTCGCAGCCGCTGTTCACAGTCCTATATTGCTGTCATTAATTAGGAGTTCATTTAGGGAGAGGGACAATCCATACAACCTAATAAATTAATGTCAGCTATACCGTAATCCTAAAATTGGATATGTGCATTTAAGCAACTACGTGCCTACACGATTAGAACATCATCAATTTTTTACACAATTAGAAAGTGCCTCTTTCACTTATAATTTCCAGCAGATATGTGTAATTTATCAGTTATTACAATATAGAAATTAAAGGGTAAAATATTTACGACAGTAGAAGATCACTTTTTTAAAAGCAGACAATTAAAGATGAGAAAAAGAGAGCCAAATGAAGGGTAAAAAATGAAATAAATATAAACAACATATTTATTTAAGTTTATTGATTTATTTACTAAACCCTAATAACAAATTAATTGTGATCAATGTCAAAAAAACAATTCTTTCCCTTCCCAATTCAGCACAATGCTAAGCTATGCCTTAATTTGAAGCCAAAGTATTTACGTGCTTTGTTAGCTCCATAAGAGCTACATCCACTGCATCCTCAAACCCTAATTCACCAAAACTAGCATTAGGATGCGCATAAGTAACCAACGGAATCATCTCTATAACCTTTTCTCTCATTTTCTCAACTCTCTCCTCATCAATCCGGTTCAATTCCTCCTCAATGGAACCCCACCGGTCCGGTTCAATAAAAACCGACCACTCCTCCCTCCGAACAGGAAAATACCATTTGTACTGCGTATAGGCCGTATGTTCCGAGAAAAACACAGGTATGCATCCCGCGAGCACGGAATCAAATACTGATCGCCTAGTGAAAGAATCTCCCGGCGGTTGCATGCAAAATTTGGACCTCTTCATGACTTCTAAAACCCGGTCTGGCTCGTGACAGTTAGTTGAACCCGGTTCACATTGAACCCTGATGCATCGATTTGATTGAGCACACTGATGTAATATATCATTTCGTACCGCAGCTTTCTCCACATTGACACGTGGGCCGCCGATGAAGGAGTAGAGGTGGGTCCGCTTGGATTGACGAATGGAGTCTTGCCATTCTGCCACGTCGGCGGAAGTGTACGGATGGAAATAGGAAGGGTAGGGAATTCCGAATTGGTTGAGGCCGTGCCAAGGCTGTCGCTCCACGGTTAAAATTGACATGTTTTTTACCTAATATTCAATGAAAGCAAATAACAATCAATTTCTACCTAGGGAGTTCGCAATGCATACGTATAACAAATTTTCACGGTCATCAAAGCAGAGTTAATATGCGAAGCAAATTAAGTTCATAAAGCCTAAACTTCAGCCCAGACCAACCTATCCAACAGTTCAAATATTTAACTGCGATCCTGTTGCATATTACACCATGCAATAAAATTTCGCTCAATAATTAAGAGACCATATTTTCTGTTAAAAAAGATTTAATATTTCTGCAATTTTCCAGTTTTCTACAAAGGCTATAGATTGTATTGAAATCACCCGCGCGTGCATAACAGATAATACTCGCCTACTGACTCCGGAGAGTGAATATTCCCAAAGAGCTAATCCATCATCATCATTGTTGCTACGATAATACCCACAATTCCCACCCAATTACCAAAGGCTATCATCCTATTCACGAACCTTTGTAACAATATTTTTCTTCCCCACCAATTAAAATAAGAACCAATCTTTTCTAGAATTAATGAGGGGGCAAAAAAGAAAGAAAAAGAAGTCTTGTGTTTACAGAAATTTATCACTTGTAAATCCAGTTGTAATTTACAAAAGATGAAGTATCCTACCATAACCAAACGACCAGCTTCTAGAGGGAAAATTTGCAAAATAGTTCATTTTTGCTAATTATTTAGCAAAATAGGTCCCTTTTGAAAAAAAGATGTCGATTTTGAAAAACAAGACCCAGAAAACATACGGGACTACTAGTCCCGTATGTTTAGAGCCAACTTAATCACGGATTAGTGACTCAAAAAGCATACGGGACTAGTAGTCTCGTATGTTTTCTGAGTTCATCTCAATGTTTTGTGAAATTTTCTGAGTTCACTAATCCGTGATTAAAACATACAGGACTACTAGTCCCGTATGTTTTCTGAGCTGTTTTGCAAAATAGACCTCTTTTTGACCTGTTGGCAAAAAAAGAGTCTATTTTACTAATTATTTAGCAAAACAGTCTATTTTGCTAATTATTTAGCAAACACAGACTATTTTTGCAAATTTTCCCGCTTCTAGACGTTTACTTGAGAATCTGTCTGGGAACTTGTGCACACTTAGACAAGCAAAATACAAAACTAGTAAAATTAATATAACAGAGTTCTGCACAGCTAATTTAGTCCCTGCCATTCCTAGAAAAGCCCCCCTGCCAACAAAAAATCGACACAAAGCACCTGTATTTTAATGAACAAACTAAACTAACTTCTTGTTACTAATTTCTTTCTCCTAATTTCATAGTATAAAAATTGTGAAAATAGTATAAGTTTAGGAGAATTTTCAGAACACCAATATTGTCTGATGAGGGGAATACTGCTCACCGGAGGCAACAGAAGCAAACGATTAGCACCAAAATCCTCAGCCACGCCGTCATTAGCCCGCATAAAATCCCACGCGGTTCTCCCAACGACCATAAAGTGATCCTTCCCGTTCATCCTCCTCCAAAATTTCCCCCCGGAAACAAACTCCCCCAGCTCAACTCCAAGCCCGTCTCGGACCCCGAACTCCCTCTCCATGAACCTACTCGAACCGTACAGCCCCGCGTAGAACGGGACGTAGAACATCCTCGCGCGCGCGGGGTCGGGGACCCGGCACGGGTGCCACTCCGCACGTGCGTGGAAGATCATCTCGGCGATGAACTGGTGGGTGGCGTACCATTTGTCGGTGAGTTGGCGGCCGAGGCCGCGGTTTGACACGTGCGGGCACATGTCGGTGTAGATGTTGAGGACGGACAGTTCGGGAGGGCTGGTGGTTAGGGAGCGGAGGTAGATGTAAAAGGGTGGATTTTTGGGCATTTGGCAAATTTGGGGGTGGGCGAGAGAGGTGGTGTCTCAGAGGGGAAAGTGGAGGAGGAGGAGGAGTAGGAGGAGCCATAAGAGGAAGAGGAGGAGGAGGAGTTTGGTTTTCGGAGGGAGAGGGATATTGGTGTGCGTGTGCTTGGGTTTGGTTGCCATGAATGAGAGAGAGAGGGGGGGAGGGGGAGACTCTTCACATATGTTTTCCACTGATGTAATGAAGAGAGACCAATGTAGTCAAAATTTTGATTAATTATGAGATGAGAGACTTCAATTGTCATTTTTTTTAAATCAAGTATTTAATTATCAGTCTGCACCGTTTAACTCATTTAGGATTTTCATGACGAGTCGCAACTATCCACTAAATAATTGACAATTATGATTAAAAGCAGTAGTATTTCACTAGGTTTTGATAAACAAGAGAATCCAGCTAATTCATTATTTTGATGGCTCGTAGATAAATCACTTTCTCATTCATAACTAATGATATTTAGATGGTTGTAATTTATTTCTAATATAACTGATATTATAGTTCCGACAATTAAAAAATTTAAATGTTCTAGTTAATTACGATACATATAAAATTGTACACAAAATGATAAACATGTATGCTTAGAAATTGCATAATCACAACAATAAAGAAAACACTGCTTAATGTTAGATATTATTTAGATAGACTAATACAATCGATAACACATTTTAACTTTTCATTTAAGAGATAACCACAATATATGGTTACAAAAATGATCCCTGTAATTTCTAGCTGCAATAGTAAACGTAAAAACTTCTTCTTGTCACAGCTGTTATGAAATTCAAAATTTTCTTCCTAAATTTAGGTTTACGTGTTTATCATCTAAACCTTAGATGTCATAATAAATAGTTGAGACAATCATCTCTCCACACTTTTCTTAATCAGAAAATGAACTCAATGAGCAAAGGATCTCTATAATTAATAGTACAAAAGGACAAAGGGTCAGCTTAGATGTAGCAAGACATGTCTCCGCTTTCACATGAATGTAGTTTTCACCGCATGTGGAGGTCGGCACTCTCCGCACGTTACGCAAGAGATTAGGGTAAATAACTTGTTAATTTAATTTAAAAGGTTAACACATGCAATCAAATGTACCAAACTAAAGTAGCAAAATTAAAGGACTGACACCTTGAAGTAATATTCACCACATTAATTCATTAGTAAAACAGTCCAACTGACTCTTCTGTACAGTGCATTAACTACTCTGTAACGTAATTTTTTAAAGGAGTTACAGCTTCCACAAGGATACGTCGTCTCTTCTGTTGTCCTGGCAAGGTAATCTTTTCTTCTCTTGGGTTACTTATTTTGATATTAGTTCCTCAATCTTAAACAATTTTCTATCAGTCCCTCAATCTTGGAAATTGCTAGGACGTCCACAAAATCTACAAGATTTGAAGAAAAACCTCTTTTATTTGCTTATTTTACTAAAACCAATGGGATTGTTTTTCGTTACTAGATGACGTAATCAAAGATTTTTCGCAATTTATTTTATCAAAAAAAATTAGGAAAAATGTGTTCAGACTCCAAAAACAGAAACTTCATGTGCTGCAGCCCCTTCAACTTACCCTCATGTGGTTTAGCCCCTTAAAATATGACATTTTGTGCTGCAGCTCCTTTTTAGCAATTATTACATGCCAACTCTAAAATCCCCAAAATAACTTTATCCTCTCTCCTCAATCCCTCAAACCCAACTCTCTCTCTCTCTCTCTCTCTCTCTCTCTCTCTCTCTCTCTCTCTCTCTCTCTCTAAAACCAAGGGCTCACCCTCGACTACGCCAGAGTTCGCCGCTGCCGCTCTCCGCCTTGCCCTCGAGTTCGTTGTCGCCACACCGCACAACTTCGCTGCTTAAGTTTTCCTGCTCTCACCCCCTAAAAGGTTCTATAAATATTTATCCCTCTCTTGTTTATATTTTCCTCTCAAATAATATTGAATCAAAATTTTCAATGGAAGATCAATTGAAATCCGAGCAGAACAGCAAGAATCCCGATGACTCAAGATCTCATAAATGATAAACCCCAAGGCCTCTCTCATACCATCATCCCTCACATTCTGAACTTGTAAGTCCCACTCTTTCTTTTTTTTTCTTTCTTTCAAATATTTTGATCAAAATAATTAGTAATTTTGTTTTTCTTAATATGGGTCACGAGCTACAGCTAAAGACTTTGAGATTTATGACCCTAACGCTACTTTTGAGGATCCCCTAACGCTGATCAAAATAGTTCTAGTTTTAATTCATGGCTCTTGGGCTCTTGTGTTAGTTCTAACTCACCGCGTATTAGTTCTAACTCACCGCGTGTTAGTTCTAGTTCTAATTCATGGTTCTTGGGCTCTTGTGTTAGTTCTAACACACCGCGTGTTAGTTCTAACTCACCATGTGTTAGTTCTAGTTCAAATTTGTATCTAGACTTGTTTGCTTCCATCTTCTAAACTCTATTATGCCTTAAATGCAGGCTGGCTGATCATCCCATGTCTCACCTGATATACTAGCTTATGTACCCAACCCTGGAGCCATGGCGGCTGTAGCATGGTACAGAGCAGTAGCGCTCACCGTTGAGAAGAAGATGCGACATTCAAAGAGCTAAGACAATTTTACCTAGAAGATTGTGAGCTCCGTACTTGGTATAGATTTTTATCTACCAACATTTCTTTTTTGAAGTTTTCACCCTCTTTTTAGCTCATTTTATTTTCCGTTTATGCCTGTACGTGCATGAGCTGAGAAGGCTGAGTATTGTTCATTTTCTTGATAACATCGTAACAAACCATATTATAAAATGAAGAAGATTTGACACAGTATAATAAAAAAATTAAAGTATATTTCTAGGTTCGTATCTCTCTTTGATGGTTTTATTTTTATGGGTAATTATCTGTGTTCTTCTGTAATGTATTGTGGTCATGATATTTGTATACATGAAATTTTCTCCTTTTATCCAGTTGTTTGGATGGGTCCCTAGGACCCCATCTCATGCAAGGCCCTGCAGTGATCATCTACAACAGCTTCTGAAGTGGTCATCTTTATTTAGTTGTCATGTTCTTTCATCTTTTATTGATGGCTAACACAAGAGCCCAAGAGCCATGAATTAGAACTAGAATTAACACACAGTGAGTTAGAACTAACATGCAGTGTGTTAGAACTAACATGCGGTGAGTTAAAACTAACACAAGAGCCCAATATCCATGAATTAAAACTAGAACTAATACGCGATGAGTTAGAACTAACACGCGGTGAGTTAGGGCTAACACAAGAACCCAAGAGCCATGAATTAGAACTGGAACTAACACGCGGTGAGTTAGAGCTAACACAAGAGCTCAAGAGCCATGAATTAGAACTAGAACTAACATGCGGTGAGTTAGAACTAACACGCGGTGAGTTTGAACTAACACAAGGGCCTAAGAGCCATGAATTAGAACTAGAACTAACACACGGTGCGTTAGAACTAATTATACGCGGTGAGTTAGAACTAACAATAGCCCAAACAAACGTCCACATTCCTTGGCCTCTCATCTCATTTTCCCTTCTCTTTCTCCGAAAAAATCAGAATTAAATCCCAAAAAATAAAAAAATATGCTCGCATAATCAAGATAGCCTCCGCTCGATGGCCGCAGTCGCTGCCTGCAACGACCGCGTCATTTCCCTCTCGTTCTGGTCACCTCCCAACCTCTCGCTTCTCCGTCGGCGAGGTGGTGTTCGGACTCCAACGAGGCCCTTAGCGGCATGCTCGATGTCGTTTCCTTTTGAGGGGAGGGTTGGATGGCACTGGAGATTAGGACACATGTCGCTGCTCTGATTTGTTGCTATGCTCGTCTCTCGTTATCTTTTTTTTCCAATTAGATTACTTCAGTTTTAAATTTATGTGCACATGCACCTAAAATGAATTAAAGAATTGTAGTCGTATTAGTTTTTCTTTTTCCGTCAAGAAGTGAATGCAAAGTTTTGGGGTAATGCCTTGCTGATTGTAAAATTTGGTTTATCTTCTTGGATCCTTCTATTTATTAGTAAAGGCTTAGTTGAACCCGAGAAAGATGATAACGCCTTTTAAGCTTTTCATAGTTGTTGTGTTAGGTTGGGTTAAGAGAACGTGGAGGCGGCGATAACGAGGAGGGCGAGGGCCAGGGTGACGAGTTTGAGAAAGCCATTGGTTTTAGAGAGAGGAGAGAGAGAGAGAGAGAGAGAGAGAGAGAGAGAGAGAGAGAGAGAGAGAGGGGGGGAGAGAGGGGGAGAGAGAGAGAGAGAGAGAGAGAGAGAGAGAGAGAGAGAGAGAGGAGATGAGATCTGGTGAGAGAGAGCGCTGGGATTTGAGGGATTGAGGAGATGGATAAGGACATTTTGAGGATTTTAGCTTAATTAGTTGATATGTAATAATTGCTAAAAGGGGGCTGCAGCACAAAATGTCACATTTTAAGGGGCTGAACCACATGAGAGAAAGTTAAAGGGGCTGCAGCACATGAAGTTTTTGTTTTTGAGGCTTGTATACTTTTTTCTAAAAAAATAAATAAATAAATAAATCCTTTGAATGCAGTTTCTATTTCTCTCGAGGTCTTCTAGATCCTGAAAGCTACAATTTAATAGCTAGTCATTAGGGGGCCCAATCTGCCAAGTGAATTTATAAGCTGCAGAAGTTTTCGTGCAAGAGTCACCCACCAATGGGGTCTTCCCAGTTACATCAAAAATCTTTTGGCAAGTTACGTAATATAATTTCTTAAGTCCACCATTCATTTCAACATCATAATTTTCATAAACTTTAGTGAAATGCTCTCAGATTTACTTTTAATTCAAAACAATTTATAGAAACAATTATAGTTAAGAGCATGTTTGCCAGCTTTGAAATATAATCCACATATATATTATAATCCATTAGAATTATAATCCATAGTATTTAGTAAATTTAGTGGATTATTATTCATTTTCAATAGAAGTGATGGCAAATGGTTAGATTATAATTTATCGTTGCTGTCAAAATGAGCAAAAAAG